TCATAAGGATAACATGGGAACTTTCAAAGCCACTGGGGCAGAGCCCAAGGGACTTTTGCAAAAATGTAAGGCCAGTTTGCAAATCTACACGACACGCTCTTTCCAATGAGACGCCAATGGATAAAATCGGTTAAGAAATGACAGAGGAGTTCAACCGACAAAGTTTCATGTAGCGTATTAATTAAATAGATCAAGTATTTTATCGTTATTTTAAGATTTTAAAACACATAAAACATTTTAACAAAACCAATATGTAGCATATTTGAAGAACATAAAAACGCTTCTTGAAGATATCCCTCTTAAAAATACCCCCGCTACAGCAAACTTACCGACTAAGCGAAATTCCATTTGCCTGGATTGATTTTCAATTAATCTATTAAATTAAGATTTATGTTAACCTATTTATGTTTATATTAACCTAGGTTAGCTTCCACAGGGGAACTTACAAAAACACTTTGATATACTAAATTATTTGTTTTTTTAAGCTCTTAGAAAGGTCTGGAGAAAAATTGATAAATTTTGAGTTTTAAGGGTAACAATTAGAAACCCCCATAACACCCCACGTTAAACCCCGTTTCCATGGTCCGATCATGCTGGTTCGTGAACTCTTTCAAGTTTATCCCGCCTTACACCTTCAGACCAAATTTGATCAAAATGGGACAAAAATTACTCAAGTTATCGCCTGGACGGACATATAGCAGGCGAGGCACTATATGGAGGCATAAAACAAAATCGCCCGAAGTTACTTACTTAGATAGGCCCGACAAATAATTTAGTTTAGGTAGTTAAGTTAAACACTTTTTATTTTATTTATTTATTGCTTGCTTGTGCACCTGCATGGTTTTGCTGAATTATTTTGTAGGTAGTTTGTAGTTTTTTGCAGCTTTTCTGTACTGTTTTTTGGCTGCTGCATGACGTTGTGCTGTAGATTGGTGCATGTTAGTCAAGATTGGACTTTAGTTTTCTGTCTTTTAAGAATGACAATGCCTATTGTATTTGTACCGAATGGCTAATAAAATCATTTATCAGTCTAAGTACCAGTAACATAAATTAATCTTGACCTAGGATGTTCAGTAGGTCTAGACCAAGTAAATCGTAACTGTAAACGTAGGGTTTTAAGAATTAAGTGGTAATGTTGCTTTTCAAGAAGCCACAACCTTCCCCAATAAGTAACTATGAATTTTAGGCCTACTGACATAGAAATAGCATGAGTTCTGCCTTCCTAAGGATTCGTTCAAAATAAGTTGGGCCTCCCTAAACTTATTTTGTTGACCCGGGTCAACAAATTTAATATATATTTAGCAAAATAACCACTTGGAATGTAGATATTTACATAAAACTTGGAAAGAAGGTACCTATATCCACATGTATTCTACACGTATGTAAAATTTGTGTAACAATTAAAAAATATTTACCTTTTTTATTACCTAACTAAAAACCGCACAAAATAGCTAATTTTATTTTGTTAGGGTCAATCGCAAAAAAAAGGTTGGTACCGGGTACTTAGAATCAAACTATATACATGAAACGTGGAAGGAAGGTGTATCCTCTTGTATTCTACACATATCTAGAATTTGGTAACAATTAAAAAATATTTACCTTTTTAATAACAAAAAATCACAGCTAATTTTATTTTGTTGACCCGGGTCAATCGCGAAAAAAGGTGGGTAGCCTACTTAAAATTAAGTTAGGATAGATGAAACTTGGAACGAAGGTATAAGTTTTATTTACATGTATTCTACACGTAATGTAAAATTGAGGTATTTACGGTGGTTTTTTTGTTAATACAGGGTTGGTACTGATTTTGGAAAATGAAATTCCCTGACTTTTCCAGGTTTTCCAGACTGATATTATACTTTTTCCAGGTATACCGTAAGACGATATCGAATAGTCAGAATCAAGAATTATTAGAAAAAATGTAGGCCTAAATAGTTTACTCATAAAACCAATAAGAAAAGAATTAAACATCTGGAATCTGGAAAATTAAGAGTACCAACTAACTTAACCTCACACTTTATGTTCTACTTGGCCTTGACTTGACACTAGCAGATAAGACGATACGGTGCTTCTGATACTGATATATACCGTATCGATATTTTGCTTGCGATATCATCAGCTTATATCGGAAGAAACATGTGATATTGGAAAAATAACTACCATGCTTGTACCGGAGACAAAAAGTAGTACCAAACTAAACTATTAAATGTTTCAACTACCGGTAACAGAAAAATTTTTTTTTATAAACTCCTACAAGTGCAGTTTTTTTTAGTTTATTATAGGTTGAATCAGTATTGGTGTAAATTCAATGAGGAATTGTATTCAGTATCGTATTGAAATTGAAACGATGAATGTAGGCCTATCCTTCCGCGCATCGCGGTACTATAATGATTGATTTGTAGCAAACGGATTGATGTTTTAATTAATGATTGTAACTTACGTCAATCAATCCAATTGTGTATTGGAGGGACGTACGTTTCGACCTTTAGGCCATCTTCAGCCCCGCTGTTACACTAAGTTGTTCCATCCTTAGTTGCATAGTTGGTGTAGCAACCGCGTCAAATATTTACAATGAAGAACACAAAAATACGACATTGACGAAGACGAACACATAGTTTTATTAATGATAGTTTGATAGTTTTATTAATATGTGTTCGTCTTCGTCAATGTTGTATTTTTGTGTTCTTCATTGTAAATATTTGACGCGGTTGCTACACCAACAATGCAACTAAGGATGGAACAACTTAGTGTAACAGCGGGGCTGAAGATGGCCTAAAGGTCGAAACGTACGTCCCTCCAATACACAACTGGATTGATTGACGTAAGTTACAATCATTAATCGCGGTACTAGCCGTGTTTCCATACGTGGGATTATCCCGAAAACAGGATTTTTAGAGCATGAGCGGGATTTGAAGGGGATGTGGGATAAAACAGGAGTTTTGGCTATGACGTCCGTTTTTATTTACTATGCTTTATTTTAGTGAAAAACTAACCCCAATCGAAAAAATTACCTTAACAAAATATAATAGCAATGTTAAACAACTATTTAAACACAATATGTCTAATTTAACACTCAGAATTTAACATAAAAAATCTTAAGGGATTAAACGGGATTTCTTAACCCAGTGACCGGGATTATATTCTTTTGGTCGTGTAGAAACACTGGGAGCTCGGTGCGTTCAATTAAAGCCAGTAATCAGAGAGTGATGATAGAATGTCTATCGATGTTCAATGTTTTTCTATCGATGGTAGGTTCCCGATGTTTTTGTTACATCGATGTTTTCGTCAAACTTTGATGTTTTTGACCAAGTAAGTTATTGGGACGTAGATGCAAAATGTAGCATATCTGTAAAAAATTCCCTGACCGTACCAACCCTGTAATAAAATAGGTAGGCTAAATATTTTTTAATTTTTACCAAATTTTACATACCGGTACGTGTAGAATAGCCTATATCTAAATATATATACCGGTACCTTAGTTCCTAGTTTCATGAATATACAGTCACAGTTTAATTCTAAGCACCCTTTTTTCGTGATTGACCTGGGTCAACAAAATAAAGTTAGCTATTTTGGGTGGGTTTTTGTTAATAAAACAGGTACTGGTAGGGATCCCAGACGTCCTCATTTTCCCGGACACGTCCTCTTTTTGGGTACATAAGAAATGGGGGATTTTTGGCAAAACCTTAAAATGTCCAAGATTTAGATTACAAAAAAAATAAATAAAATTATTCCTTAATGCATTTAATAGGCATAGTATTAGCAAATTAGCTCTAATCATCAATCGCCTAAAGCATTGTTAACATTTAAGCATGCCTGAATGAAAATTCTAGTTTAAAATTTCTAAAACTTACAATATACCGGTAGGCTGTTTTTGGGAATTGTCAGACGATGTTTAGTAGAAAAATAATTCCAAAATGCTGAAAGTTCTTGTAGGCCTACCTATCTAAAATAATAAAAAACTGTTTTGAAAGCCCCTAAAACGCATAAAAGTAACTCTAAATTTACAAAATTGAGGTGACCCCCCCCCCCCACCAAGTTCTGCGGGTCATAATTGACCTCACTTTTGATGGAGAATCTCTGGGAACTCTAAAAATAGGTAAATAGTTTTCGTAATAATCGTTACCGGTACCAAATTTTACATACGGTGTGTGTATAGAATACATGTGGATACTTATACCTTCGCTCCAGGTTTTGTGTAAATATCTACCGTAGGGCTACATTCTACTTTAAGTGGTTATTTTGCGGCTGCACTTTACTTTAGGTCCTACACTCATTCAAATAAAAATATCGATCGATATATCGATTAATCGATTGTTTCATTCGAACAAGTGTAGGACCTAAAGTAAAGTGCAGCCTATTTTGCTACTTAAATGTATTGAATTTGTTGACCCGGGTCAACAAAATAGTCAGTTCCAAATCAGGGCCGCGTTAAGGGTCAGTGGAGCCCTAAGCCTGGGCATATGCCCAGTTTGTCCGTTTATTATAAAAGCGGGCCTGTCCCAAATAAGTTTGTAGCCTAACTTATCTAGGCTATGGTTTTGTAAACATTTTTAAAATTGGGCCTAGCCTACTGAATTTGAGTTATGCATTCCCTGTCTGAGTCTGACAGTCTTGTTTAGAGAATTAACTTAAGCCTGTCCGTAATCTTTATAAAAAGACTTAAAAAATAGCATAGGCCGAGCCTAGACTGAAGTTAAGTTAATGATCCACAAAGAACAAAGACTTTCCTTCAGTTAAAGTACCTTTGAACTTAAAACCTTCTTCCAATAAGAACAATTGTACCTATTCAAACTATTTAATGTAAAAACCGTTAGGAAAAGTATATTAACTTAGCGCATTGCAGTTATATGTCTGCATTATTTAATTCCAAATTCGACTTTCCCGCATCGGCATCGCGACCTATGCCTATGTGCTATGTCATGGCCACGTTCAAGGTCAAGGCCCACCACTGACACATTGAACTAAAGGTAAAAATATAATATCAATAATACATCGTTACTTACTTGCTATTATGGAGAGTCAAGCACTAAACGAAATTGTCCATCGCACGTTATGACGATGAGTAAATTCACTGACAGTCAACGAAAATTACCTTGACATTAAATTTCCACAAAACTAGACAGAAGGTTAGATCAACCCCCCACCCACATACGGATTTGATTTGATTCGAGAAAATCGATATTTGGACAAACACCGTCACGTAAAATGAAACAATTACAATAAAACGGTATGACACTGATAGTGAATTTTAAATGTTAATTATTATACATCAAATACCACCACTTCACTGAATTTACTTAAAAATTTACACGTCACAACCACAACCGAGATATTCTTTCTTCTCCTTGTCAGCCATACACTTGTTTGTAAACAGATCCACCTGTGTTCTAGTGGTAAACATTCGGTCCCTTTAAACGACAGCTGGTAGTTCTGAATTGTAATCTGACAAACTAAAATATACACGGTATCACACACCGTGAGAAAACCCGGACTAGTTTTAATACACACGTACTTAAACTTTGTGTCTGGGCACAGTCAATATTATTATTACGGGACACGGTACACGGTTTCGTTCGTCCAAAATCCTCGTTTTTAACACAGTGGGGGAGAGGAGAGTGAGAGAGAGCTATGTTCTGCTTCGCGGCGATTGGTTCGTTTGACAGCAGAGGCGGTACCAAACAGGACCACGTGTATTACGTCATAGATTTCAACTTAAACTACCACTGTTGCTTTTTGCCACCACTGAACCTGTACCTGTACCCAGTACTGCCTTGTACCTGTATCGTATCATTTTCATTGCTTTGCCTTAGCTTCTTAACATAGATAAAAACATACTCCCTTGTGTTGGTTTGGTTAGTCTATGCTTGTGCCGTGAGTCACATGGTTACAAAAATTAATTATCTTCTTACCATCCTACTTTCTCACTCATAATCATTCTTTTTATTGCCATAAATACAAAAAAGTTACAGGGCAAGTCACTAAAAACAGTTTCTCAAGATTTTCTTGGCCAATTATCAATTATTAAAACATTTTTATTTTTATTCCTACACCAATTAAAATTTTAATTTTTTTGTTGGAAATCTTTTATTTTTACGCTCTAATCATTGATTTGAGTTTATAAGTTTAAAAATACAATGGTAACTAACGTTGTAGTGGTGTGTAAGCTACTATAGTTCTTGTCATGAAGCAATTCATCCTTGATCATTGGTCTTTTTAATATATGCATAGTCCTGAACAAGGAACAGCTGGTCATGTAGTCGGCATCTACACTATTAAGGCACCACACTTAACTCCAGTCCAGGACGAACGGATGTTGCCACTGTGCTTCTTCCAAAAATCCTATAGCAACCTGTGTTTCTCCTAAGACGATGGTGGATATTCCTGCACTGGAAAATATACAAATACACCATCACAACTACAAACCTTCCTTTTACTTCTCACCTCCATGACCACGAAAATAAAGTGACGACTGCCTCAGTGTCCTCTTCAAATGCCACAGCTTAGCTCCAGTCCCAACCCACCCTGGCACAACTGTATTCCTCAGCCTTCCATTCTGCCCTTATCTTCGCACATACGCTTTCTGCACTCTAACTTCAAGGTCTCCAAGTCCAAGATGCCGCAAGATGTGCTTTGTGGCTGCTAGCCTCTCATCGAGTGTCCTTTCCCGAATCCAAGCATATCTCTATGATTTCCTCAACCTTATATAACCTTGATTGTGGCCAAAACTCCAAATTGCTCTGATACTTTGATCCATCCGTCACAAACAGCATAGGCATCACCATCCACTTCACGACAAAACCAAACCCACAGCAACACCAAGACAAACATTAACCCCCCCCCCGCAACAAATACCCTAAAAATCTTCCCATAGCTGGGACTGGGAAGATATTAGTTAAATTAGAATCATTGTTAGGTGTAATTTATTGTGCAAAGCAAGAGGGGGATAAGATTAGTTGCTTCATTGACCAATTTCTCTCATAAAACATTATCAATTGTCAAGGTTATCTATAGTGTGAAAAAGCCACAGAATGCACAATTTAATGCCATCAAATCACAACTATGTTTACTAACAGTAGGAGCACTCTATGTTCCAAAATAATTTTAAGGGGCCAAGGGGGTAATAATTTAGCAACTGTGGAAGTAAGAAATATTAACTCACAACAATAGTCACAATAGTGTTTTAGTCAAACACCAAAATGCTGAAATGGCAATTAAGATGAAAACCTGACATCAGTCAACAGATTGATGTGCATTATTAATTCGGCTGACCTGACTGATGTAATACTGCATTTTTATATTGGCCAATGAAATGTTGTGTCGTCATACAATCTTTTAATTTTAAGGTACAAAGATAAAAGCCTATTGTCTGCTGTACAAATTATGATTATATTACAAAATGAGTAATTAATTACAATCTAATATATAAAATTCTCGTGTCACAGTGTTTGTCTGCAAACTCCTCCGGAACGACTTCACCGATCGTTATGAAATTTGGTGTGTAAATTCTTTAGGTATGCGAATCGGACGTAAACTATTTCCCGTTTCGAAATTCTTAAAAGGGCTCCGCCCCAGTGGCTCTGGAGTTTCCCATGTTAACCTTATGAGAAATGGAATTAATGAATCTTAACAGCTGTTTCAATTAAACAAGTTGGTTCTGTTCTATGATGTTCAATAGCATTAAAGTTACAAGGATTACCAACAGGGTGCAGCACTATTATTTCTTTTACATTTATGACAACAGCTAATTAGCAACCAAAAGGTGAGTGAGCGTAGCGAACGAACTTCAACCTGGAGGCGAGTTAGCGTAGCGAACGAGCTAACCTGAAGGCAAGTGAGCGCAGCGAACGAGCTCCAACCTAAAGGTGAGTGAGCGTAGCGAACGAGCTCCAACCCAAAGGTGAGTGAGCGTAGCGAACGAACTTCAACCTGGAGGCGAGTTAGTGTAGCGAATGAGCTCCAACCTAAAGGTGAGTGAGCGTAGCGAACGAGCTCCAAGCCAAAGGTGAGTGAGCGTAGCGAACGAACTTCAACCAGGACGTGATTGAGCGATGCGAACGAGATCATCTTGAAAATTAAACGTAACGGTACTTAAATTATAAATAGTCAAAGGCAAGACAGCGTCTGCCGGGTTTTCCATCGGTCTGTCTTAGGGGAAACCTATAACTTAGGCGATACGAAGTTCGCCGGGTCAGCTAGTATTAACTATATTTTTTATAATCTAGTAAATAAGGAAAGTTATTTGTTTATCTTCTTTATACATTTGATGAATTTCTGTAATTAATTCCTAAAAATAACAGTCAAATATCTCTACCATTCTCTAAAAAAGGTGTAATAAGGAATACATTTTTGTCTGAGGTATGGGATTTTCTTTTTAGTTAATTATATTTTCTGTAAGAAACTTTGATTCATACTCAACTTCTGAGTTAAAAAATTGTACCAGCAATTACTTTACTGAGTTTTAAGAGTTTAAATATTGTCAACTAAAATTAAAAATGTTGCCCAATCTTTAGTTTATTTATGGTAATAGTGATATATGCTTGATTAGTTGCTATAAGTAACATGTATTATTCTAACAACTTTAAAAAAGCCCCAACCACTTCAAGATGAGAAATAAACAACTTAAGAGGACTTAAATAAACACAATATTAGTTTCATACTGTATTATATTTGGTCTGTAATGACTGAATAACTGAACAAAAATCAAGAAGGGAACTAATCTAAAGCCATATCTTCGTCATCGTCGTCCTTCTTGTCATCGGTTTTCTTGCGCTTCTCGGGTTGCGAGGGCTCGCTGCTGCTGCTGGAGTTGAGGCTGGTGTTCTGCAGAGCCTTGACAAAGTCCTCCATGTTGCCTTGGTTGGCAGCACTGACTGCCTCGGGTCCGACCTCAAACTGGGACACTATTGGACCCAGCTGACCAGACTGCAGAGCCGTGCTAAACAAGCTGACAGCCTGCAAAGCACCATTACATTTATAAAACAGGAATAATGCTTCAAAGCTTACACATAAGGAAGGAGCAATTAGAGGATGTATTACTAAGGGGCACAATGTTTCAAACATTCCAGTGCTTTCGATGTTTGTCAGTGCTGCAAATCATAACTGCCATTTTTCATGGTTAGGAAATTGGTGATGGAGCCAGTGCAGTGGCGAAGCTGCCATTTTGGGATGTAGACACAACAACTGAGGCCATTCACAAAACACAGTAGGTACCATTGGAAGCATATTCTGACCACCCCTGTCCATGGATTGGATTAAATGTGACTAGTTTTAAGTTTTTGGCTTTTGTGGTCGATGTCATTACAATCCGTAAAGGCTTTTGGCATCACCTGCACTGTCAGTTGGACATTTTTCCAGACCTCTCGCCATTCCTTCAAATAGGTGTGGTCAAGTGTCCCAAGTATTACAAACCCAATGACAAGTATGTTTCTCCGAGCATCTTCTATAATACCTGTTGGAACTGCGGCGAGGCTAGTGTAGAACGCAGATGTTCCTGCTGAGAGGCTACACCCGGAGTAGACGGTAGATGTTGTGACAACTCCTCTACAACAGCTGGGTTGTTGACTACAGCTTGCAGTGTTTCTGATGTGATGGCAGACGACAGATCTACTGCACCAATACCATTATACAAGGAGGTAGAAGACAGGAACAAACACAATTCACATGTAAAGTAAACTTACATTCAGAATACTATGCTTGATAATATTTTTGTTTTGTTTAATATTACATTCGTTTCTTTTATAATTCTAGTTAAGTAATATGATTTTCTAGCAAGCGATTGAAAATAATATTGACATGGCCAACAATAGGATTGTTTCTCTTAAGATTTTAAACAATGTCGCTCACTGATAATTTTATGTCACAAATATATATGTTAAGCAGAGCAAACTTTTTTATATTAGACACTTAAGAAATAGACATGGGTACTCTCAACTTCTGCCAGTTCCAATCTAAAAGAGAGGATTTGTAAAAAAAAATGTAGATTAAATACAGAATTTCAAATACAAGGTACGAGTGAAATGCACTTGCTGAAACCTAATTAAAATACAACATTATGCTTACACATATACCAAATCTAAGTTTCTTTCTGGTCTATATAATGGTAGGAAAAGATTAGAATTTTCGGTTCCAATTTCTGCATACTAATTATAAAAAATGTTTCAATAAATTTTTGAGAATGCTTTTGATTGTTGTTACTTCTTTCAAATGGGGAAAACTTAAGATATAATTTATTAAAAAATAATGTTAGGGAACATAGTATACAGACCAGTAGGTGGTGCTGATGACCCTGGTGCTCCAGCAACTCCCAGGCCTGAGAGGAAGTTCTGTAGATCGCTTAGCTGTATGGGATTCTGGGTGCTGCCACTCTCTGGGGGGAGTTAAAAATATGTTAATCAGTGATATCTGACATGTTCAAAGTAGATTATGTTACCACCTTTACCTCATCAACAATAGTTGTTAATAATCGGGTGAGACGGTGGCTCAGTTGGTAGCGTCACGGACTTCGGGCCCAAGGCAGCGATGTCGTGGGTTCGGATCCTGGTCACTGCCGCGAACATTTTATCAGTACAGTTCACCTTCGTACTGTACCAACTCACCCGCTTGCTTTGCTGGATACGTTCCACGCACAGATCTGTAGTCTATGTGGACGGGCAAATGTGAGGTTACTTACGTACTTACTGACGGGGCGTCACAAATCTGTTGATTTTTTGCCTCGTAGATTAGCCGCCTCCACTCTCCTCTATCGCCATCCGGATTTCTCCTACGCATTGGATCACATCCTTTTGGACTTGGTCATGCTATCTTAATTTAGGCCTACCCAAAGGACGTCTTCCTGTAGGTCTTCCCAAGTACATGACCTAGCCAACTAATTCTTTTGGCTTTAATAAGCGCTATTATGCCTGGATCTTTATATAGGGCATGCAGCTCTCTACTTTTCATTATGCGCCAAACTCCTTCTTCATAAATTGGGCCGAATATTTTACGAAGTATCTTATTTTCAAACACCGTCAACCATCCTTCATTTTTTTGGAGAGGACCCATGTTTCACTTCCATACAATAACACTGGCTGTATAATGGTCTTGTATAATCTAAATTTTGAGCATCTTGATAAAATGAAATGTAAGGTTAAAAAAATGATACTATTTTAAGCTTGCCGTAATTATGCTCCTTTTACAACTCAGTTTTTGGTTGTCATACAAAGGTACGCAACCAGAAAACAGGTAGTCTGCCTCAACTTAAATTGAGACAGGGTATAGTGATAAAAGATCTGATCAGTTTCAGCTGACTTTGGTAACAAACAAGTTAAAATTCTTCACCTGAAATTCCTTAAAGATAAATCAACCAATTCTTGTGTATATGAGGCAGGGTTTAAGCTGCAGTAGCATTTTTATACTATACACAACTTAAAACCTATACCCTGATAAAAGGGTTTTCCGTAAATTAAGGTCTCCATTGAGCTGCTGTCATGAGAGTAATTGAATATAAGCTTTTCTCTCATTATATTGTCACGTAGAGCCTGAATTTTAATCATCATCTTATATCACCATCTTGTACAAAAATAAGTTGTCTTTTTATAAATTGGCTGCTAGCTGTGGAAATAAAAATTACAAAGAATATTTAACCTGCAGATGATGGAGGCTTAGGCCGAGGTGTTGAGGGCTGCGCAGGAGCCGTGGAAGATTTAGGCGTAGTGGTAGCGCTGGCTGCAGTGGTACCACCACTAGCAGGGGCTGCTGCTCGACTGCTGCTAGACTGACTGGTGGAGGGACGGCTGGAAATAAACATTAAAAATATCACCAACAATACAGTACAAGACTTCCTTTGACAACAACTCTAGGTATTAATAAGCTTTAGACTCCTTTTTATCCATCAGTAAACTCAATAAACACCCAGACATTTTGAACAAGATAAAAGAGGTTTAACTTCAAAATTGCTAGAGAACCTACAACGGATAAAGAAGTAACATATTTAATCAACGATGACGATCATAGTTACCTGATGGTCCCAAGAAGGCTCGAGAGACCTCCAATCTGTCCCACACCTCCAAACAATTGCATCAACTGCTGCTGTGACATGTTCTGTAGCAGATTCTGGAGATTCTCATCTGAAATGTTAAAAGTGACTTGAAAACTCAACCACACTCATCATTTTAGGATGACAAGGCTAGATAGATTAGACAAATGATGGAAGCGGTCAAATGAACTGTTTTTATTATTGCTTAGTCATATTTGTCTATCATAAAGTATTGATATTAACACTTGAAGCCTATTTTATATTTCTCAGTTTTTTTTTTACATTTTGTCCTTTTATGTCTTTTATAATATACTAGCTTTTGCCCATCGGCTTTGCCCGACATACTTTCGGGTATTATACTTACTACTATGAACTGGCTGAAGTTGTGACCGCTACACGCAAAAATTACCTTTTGTATTAATTTGTGATTTGAAACTGTAACATCAACGATACGTATGTTGTGCCACACTGGCACTCGCAGGTGAGATTCAAAAAACTAATACCCTGAGCTATAATAGGTTTTGAATTAAGAATGTTTGTTTGTACAAAGATAAAATGATTAAAGGTAACTCTTAAGTTTTGGTTGGTTTGGATTGAAATCGTAAATTGAAATGATAAGGTTTGGGTCATTCAGTTACATTCTTTTATTTCAGATACTTTATCATAGTTAGAGCTAGTGTAAAAAGTAGTTAATATTAAATATAGTAAACTGTTTATGACTTGTAGGTTTACCAGGTGTGACTCCTCCGCTTCTCCCTGGTGTCGGAGGGTTGTTCAGAACCTCGTTGATCTTACGAGCATTATCCTCGTCTTTCTCAGTCTTAGGTTCCTGAACAATTTTATGTATTGGTAATGAAAAACAATTTCCGTTCTAAAAAGTACTGCAACATAACCAATAGATTATAACAAACAATACTAGAAAGCCCATTCTGCACCGCAGCGTTAAAATAAATATCACATCCGAGAAACAATTTATGATTTTTGATTGAGTAAAACGGTATTTTAAACTGGTATTTCACTGAAGGATCTTAGACCAAAATATATAGGATTACCGTATATAATTATAACTGGTGAAATACATCTTAAAATAAAGTAAGAATTTGAAAAAGATCAAATTTATGTTTTTTGGTAGAATAAATATAATACAGATTTTTACAGATTTTTTGGCAGTTAGATAAATATATACTGATGCTTGATGTGAAAAATCTGTACTTGCATACCTTCAATTTGAGGCCTTAATCATGAAAATCGGTCGGGTAGAAGGGTCAAACGAACTCGGAAAAGAAAAACCAAATTCAACCCCCATAAGAAATACATGGGGAAACGATTTAGTTTACGTATAGGCCTAAGCCAAGTGGGACTGTAGATGCCGATGCTTGATGTAAAATCTGTTGCATACCTTCAATTTGAGACCTCAATCATGAAAAGCGGTCAGGTGTAAGAGCCAAACGAACTCGGAAAAGAAAAACCAAATCTTTTTAATATACAGTATAGGATAATCCATTTGGGAACAGATAAATCTACAAGCAGAAATCTGAGCCAATCAACATTTTCATTAGTATAGTAGAAATTCTCTAGTTATTATTCACGCTGTGACACTGTACATTGAGATACAATTATAACCTCTAAACTGTATTTTATATGGCTAATGATAGGCTAAATACAACATCTCACAGGTTTCTCGCTTGGTAATTCAACATGTGTGTTATTACTATAATTAATTACTGTAGTATCATCAGATAGGTAGTCAAGAGATTCATTTATTACACCATTCAGTAGTGTCACATTACAAAAGATATAATTTATTTGTATACTTTAAAAGAGAAAATCAACTAGGCCTAATAATAACAAAATTGTGTAGGTAAGGTTCCCAGGGTACATAAATTAACTACAAATCAATGAAACTGAAAATGAATATATTACATATATGTAGGCTATTAGAGTACTGTAAAAGTAATACTATTTAAAATAGGCTAAACTGAACAGATTTTGGTACAGTGTTGGATTATTTATATGTAGGCCTATCTTAAATATTACAATTAATTACATGTAAATCACCTGAATCCAGAAGAAAAATTTTCGGTTTGATGACTTGAATTTCAGTACATAAACTCGTCCCGTGGTACACTGAGCGACTTTTTTGAACTCACAATCATCAGGAAAGATAATTAAATCCTGAAACAAATAGTAAGTTTAAAATAAATGTCAATATTAAAAGTTGAATATAAAAGGTTTAATTTACCTATCTGTTGCGTCGATTGATCCTTGAGTCATTACTCATCATATACCGGCTACGCAACTTGTGTTCAGACTACTTGGCCAAGTTTTTTATGGTAAATACTTAAATGTTTCGTATGTGTTTTGTGTTATGTGTCCTAAATGAGCTGACCACTCCATCCACGGATGAGAAGACCGTATTTTAACGTTCCTACAACCTGAAGATGTGCTTGGTTAGCAGCACGAAATGGCCGTGGTTATTTTATAACTTAAGGATCAATCGACGCAACAGGTAAATTAAACCTTTTATATTTGCCTTATCTTGATCCAGAGGCTAACCCATCGTGAAAATAAGTCGGTCAAAAAATGTACCTATGGGATGTTATAGAATTTTATATTTAGCAGCTCATTCAGTTTGTCTTATTTGTTCTATACCTAAGTACTTGGCTTTTGACACCAGGTCCTGGACTAAAACGGCAAGTTTGTTACTCAAAGTATGAATCGCTTGTAGATAAGGTAACTCTACTTGAGGCATAACTTAACTTACTCTGAATAGTTGTATAGGCGTCCAAATAGTTGAAATGCACATCAATCGACAGATTATTCATTTCTGAACCGAATAAATACTAACTTAAGTGAAATTCGTTTCATTCTCGTGCAAAAATTGGCAATTTCCGTGACTTGTAAATGAAAATAAACATAGCCTAGGTAAAGTGAACCGAATGATAAAGTTTTTGGTCAATAAAAGGGTTTCAAGTCCTTTGTTTGCAAGATCAAATGGATTAGCTGAACAGTATGTTCAAGAAGCAAAACTCATTCTAAAGAAATGTCTAGAAGAAAAGACGGATGTTTATCTAGCCCTACTTCATCAAAGAAATATAGGTACCCCGGAAAAATCTTGGATCTCCAGCTCAAAGATTAATGGGGCGCAGAACAAGGACACTGCTCCCTAGCACAGATAAAATTCTGCAACCAAAAATAATTCAAAATGTTCACAATGAATTGCAAAATATTCGGGAAAAATCCAGACAATACAGTAAGTTAACAGAACAAAAAAGAACAACTTAGAATTTGAAGAAGGAGAAAAAGTACTGTATAGAATAGAACACAGAGACTGGCAGCCGGCTACAGTCATAAGAAAAGGTCCGGAGCCAAGATCATACCTTATAGAAACTCCAGATGGGAATATTTATCGAAAGAACTCTTGGTTTTTGAAGAAACGATTTTATGACGTTGAAGAACCGGCAGGAGCAAGTAAAGTGAACGGAAGTAAAGCTGGAAATGGAGTTAAAGATGTAGATATTAGAAAGTCATCACGAAGAGTAAATCCTCCCAAAAGACTTGACTTATAAGTGAAGAACTCCCTTCTTCACTTATAAGTCAAGTCTTTTAAAGTCTATAAAGTCATATGGTTGTTAATTATTATTATATTGTTGAACGAACCACGTTCCTACCTTGTGGAAACTGACAAGAGAACCATTCGCCGAAACAGGAAGTTCTTAGTTCCTGCACCGTACTACGGAGGAGATGGTATTCTTTCAAACTGTTCATCCATGGTCATTAATTGTCCATGCAACTCACGTGATCGTCCAGGAGCTGGCACAGTAACCCGTTACGGAAGGTCCATTAAGAAACCGAGGCGGTACTGAGGTTCATAAAGATGTGGACATCTTGAGGCGGGATGTTGTATTAAGTCTATTCTTTTTATCATATGATTTATTTGTGTTTAAATATGTTTTCTTGTCAGATGATTTTTGTAAACATTGGTTTAGTTTGGAAATAGAGTTTGTTGAAGCAAGATGTGTGAATAATATTCTTGTATAAGAAATACAACATACCAAGTTGTTTACAAATACGCACGTCAGCTGTCTGGTACAATATTTTTGGAACTAAAATGAAAAGCGTCTAGAAACAGACATCAGGAGAAAGCTTAGAATCTGCCGAAAACAACAATACCAATCTCGATCCAGTTCAATCTGATTCAGTCAGTACCAGAGCCTTCGCCGTAACCATAGACAAAAAGAATTAAATATAGACCATCAGCTGTGCTGCGGTTACCATAGCTTCTGGCGCACACCGCTTGGAGCGCCATGTATTTACGACGTACGCGCTACGTAAACTACAGCGGTGTGCGCCGGAACCTATGGTAACCATGGTAACCGCAGCATGGCTGACAGTCTATTTTTAATTCTTTTTGTCTATGCTGTAACTTAAACGATGTTTGTGTGTCGCAAAAGCGACGCATAACACCACGGCGGGTGTGTTGTGCGACGATTACGCGACGCTTAACACTCGGAGGGTTAAAAGTGGTGTTTACCCCTAAAGTGCTTGAGGAAAAAAAAGTGCTTAGAATTGCATGGTAATTATTTGGTATGTCTACAACGCGATATTATGTACTTTTTTGATGTCTACTTACAGTATTTTTCACACTGAATCCAAAAATGCAATAAGTTTTTGTCGGAGAGATTCCTAAATTACCGTACAGCTAAATAATTAATATTAAGCTTCAGTTTTGTTGTAATATTCACATATTTGTGGTATGGACGAGTCCAAGTTCTAGTGGCGACTAACACTTAAAGGGGAGGAAGGATTGTGGAGTGGAAACAGCTGTCAGTTCATTCATAATAATAACAGACAAAACCACACACGACGCCATGAGAGCAAAATCAGAGTTACAATATGCAATAACTAGATATTTTTAAAAGAAAATGGACTTTGGTGCTGTTTAGAAAATACAATAAATCAACTACGATACATAAACTATTAATCACATCAACATAAATTATAGAGCAAAATAGAATTTATTCACGTAAAATATCAGTAATAGAAGCAAGGCCACTGCCGACATGATCATCGTCCTCATTCCAATCCTGAATCATTGACTAATGCCTCAACGTCTGTTAATGAACGTGCCATAGTGCATAATCCCATAGTACATAATCCCATTGTGTCTAAAAGTGAAAACGTGTCACAGTGCATAATTTAATGTATCAGCAACTAATAAATGATGTTACATAATCTAATCTAACCTAACCTAACCCAATCCAACCTTAATAGTAATGTTTAAATCGCATTTTATGTCAGAAAAGGCATGTGGGGAAGATAGGTCGGACTTTATGTGGATTCATGACTGTATTAAGTCCTTTGAAGTGAGGTTAGATTAGGTAAGTTAAAGGTTAGGTTATAATGAACCGACTCATTAATTTATGCAACTTCCAGACTGTTTTTGCACAATTGAAATAGTGGGTGAAACACAATGAAATAAAAATATCAAAAATGCTTACGCATTTTTGATTTCGTTATTTCATTGTGTTTCAACCACTATTTAATTGTGCAAAAACAGTCTGGAAGTACCATAAATTAATGAGTCGGTTCATTATAACCTAACCTTTACCTTCCTAATCTAACCTCACTTCAAAACACTTAATACAGTCACGAATCCGCATAAAACCCGACCTACCTTCCTCACATGCCTAAATAAGATAAGAACTGATTATCTCTGGTTTCAAAACAAATTGATTTCATTCCGCATACAAACAGCTGTTTGCTCTCCCCCTCACTCTGTACTCAGACCACATACGGACCCGTCCAGACCACGCCATATTGCCATCAGTATACCTCAATTAACCTTAGATTCGTAATGTTGACCTTCGTTTTACGATCATTTAGGAATCTCTCCGACAAAAACTGATTGCATTTTTGGATTCTGCGTGAAAATACTGTAAGTAGACATCAAAAAAGTACATAATATCGCGTTGTTGATATTTCAAATATTTGCCAATTGCATAAATGTTGTAAAAATCTCATGAGGAGTTATGTTAAGTTCATGATTACCAGAGGTCCAAACTACTAAAAGACCTTAGCCTACTTAGGTCTGTAGGCTACTTAGAAGATAGGCCTATTCCGGTTTATTTTGACCTTTCAATGCATTGTGATTGCACTCTGCAGAATGCCAACGGACCATAACTTACATCTTCCACAGTTCCAGAGCCACGGTCTTTCCAGCAAAAGTGCATCAATGAATCTTCTGATTGATAGACATACACTAAACCCTTCCTTTTGTCAGGATGAACCATTTTCCCTTTCATTGTCATTTTTCCAGCTTTGAATTCAACCAGATTCTTGCTTTGAGAGCGAGATGCTGAACTGCCAAACAAAGCTCCTCCTGCAGGCATCTTGACCTTTTGAGTAGCAAGAACCTAGAAGGTAAGTTAAAAAGAAAGTATCAGTTCAGTAAAATAAGGTCCCGGTCCTAAACTTAAGTTTCATTCCAGCAAATAGGCCTAAGCCTAGTTATCATTTAATGTAAAAACGCCCTTAAATTTACCGATAGATAATGTACAGTAGGCCTTGTGCTAATCATTAGTGTGGTATTATCCATTACAAGTAGTTATGAACGTAGGATTTAATTTGTTTAAGCCTTACTTAGCCTATACTTACAATCACTAGTAAATTTTCCGAATACAGGATTCTAGGACAGTTTCTGTAGATCAGCTGTATCGTAAACTGACGCTTAATAGTTGAATAGCAGGTGTAGGCAATGAATACAAACCTAGGCCTAGATTATTAACTTAACTTTTATGTTCTAAAATAAAATAAGTTACTGAAATATGCAAAACTCTGTACCAACAACGCAAACAGACCAACAACAGACGATGAAGATGAAAAGGGAAGGGGAGCCGGACAGGACAGGACACCAATCGTCAATCGACCAATCAAATCCACCACACAGAGTCACCCATTTCCATTCTGTATCAATTTCCATAGCCCACAAAATTAAACTGCTTTGTCAGGGTCATATCAAAGACCCCAAAAATACAGAACCTTATCCCTGTCCATAGATTATAGAACAGATCTATTGGAGTTTTATTGTCTTACTAACATTTTTAATAGTGCTTGTTTTTCGATTTTTTCTTGAGTTGAAACATCAATTGCCATCAATACTAAACAATCGTAATCCCGCTATCATCATAATTATTCATCATACAGAAGCTAGTCCGAAAAATTTTTACGCGTATAGTGCGCTATGAATGTTTGTGTGTAAATTAGAAATTGACACATTATTTTCGACTATTAAGGTATGGAGAAGGGATCAAGTATCCAAAGTAACTATGAAAGAAGTTGTAGCATTGAATAATTTATTGGATAGCCAAAGGTTGTTGCACAGATCATAAACTTAGTTCCATATCTGGTGCACTTTAGGTAATACTTTGTTTTCAATTTGTTTCTTGTTACCTTAGTCATTTATTTAAAACCACGTTTAACCAAATTAAATTATGATCGTTTATTTATTGCCATTGCCAACGGATTTCACCAATTTACAATACATACACAATAATAACTCGTCCCCTATAGTTTATAACCACAGACTATAGATAGTCTGTCATATAAACAACCCGTAAAGCACAAAACATTAAATTAACCCAAAACATAATAGAAACACAATTTTGTTGATACTGATACTGCGGATCACTATGATCAGTTGATCAGTATCACCAAAGATTACATATGCGTTAGCATATGTGTAATCTTTGGTATCACCAACATCAACTAGCTGCAATAGTTCAAAGTATACAAAACAAAAATACACGTTTTTCAATAAGCTTGTAAAACAATGCAATTTTCTGGTGCGTAAGAAGGTATTTTAAAAGAACATGATCATTCAGATAATTTCACTGAGTCCAATTATTATGGAGTACCTGTAGTCTGTCCTTTTTCAAATTGTTTGTTTATATTACTGCCAACTGTCAACAGCATGTTATAGGGCATTTGACAGATCTATTGAGGTGTATACACTGTGCAGTGAGAGCAACTCACGTCATTGCCTGTCAAGAATATGATAGGTGGGAGGGTCGAGTCATTTAGTAATGACCAGTCAATTACGTCATTGTGACGTGCAATGACCTCATAGGTAGTCGCAAGGCCTAGGTAGGTGTCAATCATACCAGAAAAACATCCATTCATTAGAGTATATAGGTGACACGGGTGATACAGGAAGGCAAGCGTTAGCGAATTTATCACAAAGAAATATCGATGAAAAATTTATGGATGCCTTTTGTGCCACATAATGGTGGACCTTTAAACGGATGGTGTTTTTGGCCTCTGGGGACCTCAAAACAAAAATGTAAATCGGACCGGGGCCCAGGTCTCACCATGAGACCTACGGCACTGTAATAGCTCATTGCCTATGGGAAATTCGCTAAAAACGGATGTTTTTGCTGCAGTATGCAGAAAAATTATGTTTATCACTCCGTGTACAGAAAGGGAAATTGGTTATTTTCTATGACATCTTGATGTCAAATAAAATAACTGTTTCATAAGCTCGAATTAATAGACATATGGAAAACAATCTGGTGATTTTCCCTTGATCTAAATTTACTTTCCCTTGATCTCAACTACCTAACTAGTTCTCCATTTGCTCTTCTACGTCACTGAGAAATAAGATGTACACTTTTCTTACTTCTTTGTGTCTACGTTTAGGCCTACTGTGACTGTGTTTCTCAACCGTTGTTTTGATAATTTTAATCAGCTGTTTTTAATGTTCGACAATACAAATTGTAATGCATAAAAGCTACAGTGTTGATGTGTTTTAGCTTGTAGTGCGTGTTTTTTTACACAATTCAGTAATTCACATTTTACTTAACCCTATAATTTTTACGTTTTATGTAGGTTTGCTATAACTTTTTATAAAAATATAAATGTTAACTAAAGTTTATTATTAACTAGCTGGTCCGACAGACGTCGTCCCGTCCTAATGTGGTTTTATGTCAAATGCTTGTTCATTTTCAAGATCCTGGTTGAAGTTCGTTCGATACGCTCACTCACCTTTAGGTTGGAGCTCGTTCGCTGCGCTCACTTGCCTCCAGGTTAGCTCGTTCGCTACGCTAACTCGCCTCCTTGAAGTTCGTTCGCTACGCTCACTCACCTTTTGGTTGCAAATTAGCTGTTGTCATAAATTAAAAGAAAAATAATCGTGCTGCACCCTGTTGGTAAACTTATTAATTTTTTAATGCTATTGAACATCACAGAATCAAATTGTTTAGTTGAACCAGCTGTTAAGATTCTTTCATTCCATTTAAATATGAGTACTCATAAGGTTAACATGGGAAACTCCAGAGCCACTGGGGCGGAGCCCTTTTGACGGATCTGCACCATCGGGGGTGTTATTATACTTCGATGATCTGCACCAAACTTCATACAAACCATCCTTGAATATGCTTAATAATGCCTGAAAGTTTCATTACAATCTGTCGAGCGGTTTCGGAGTCCATAAAGTACAAACAAACAAACATACATACAAACAAACATACATACATACAAACAAACATACATACATACATACATACAAACATACATACAAACAAACATTCATTGGATTTTATATATCTATATAATTAATACGCTACATGAAACTTTGTCGGTTGAACTCCTCCGCCATTTCTTAACCGATTTTATCCATTGGCGTCTCATTGGAAAGAGCGTGTCGCGTAGATTTGCAAACTGGCCTTACATTTTTGAAAAAGTCCCTTGGGCTCTGCTCAAGTGGCTTTGAAAGTTCTTATGTTATCCTAATGGAGAACTTAATTGTTTACATTTTGATCAGCTGTATAATTTAATTGCTGTTATTTATTTTTCAATTCGAAACGCATTGAGTACATTTATTTACTATTTGAGTTTGTGTAAACATAACCCCCAAGTTTGATGGTGTTAGTATGGTTGTATCTTAAATTTGTGTATTTATCGTTGTTTTGTGTTGCTATGACGGATTGTGTTAGCTTGATTGTAACTTTAATTTGTGCATGTATCGTTGTTTTGTGTAGCTATAATTTGTTTATTTGTTGTTTCTTTCTTTTAAATGCCTCCGACGCGACGACAACGCGAAACATAGGCAGGAGGCGTAATCGTGATAACGACCGCAGCTACAGAACAGTGGCGCGTGATAGGCTTAACTCATCACAGTCAGCACCTGACCCTGGACAATCTCAACTATTAGGTTACAAATGCACCCTAACACTACTCCAAAACGACTTTTCGTTCTCAATTGCCCCTCTATCAATGACCTGTGTTGCCTGTACAGCGAGGCATTTTGAGAAGGAGAAAACCGGCCGGAATGCTTTAGGTTTATCAATAACAAAGATAAACGTAATATAAGTTACTCACCGGTAATCTTTAGAGTTGACTCTTTTAAACTCATTGTAAATATGACTGTTATTTGTTTTGAAATAACTCCTGTAATACTTTGCAATTGCTCGAATTCGAGCAACATGTACACTAGTATAGATTAAATTAAGAATCGAGCCCTTGGTCGCTGACTTCCCCGACAGTACAACAGGTATTTAATTTTTTTATTATTTGTAAAAAACTTGATCCAGAGCTAAAACATGTTTAAAAGATATAAATTGTAACAAACACTAGTGCAAGTAGTGGGAAAATGTAAAAGTGATCGAGAGCAAAGGATAGCAAATTTACAGCAAGGGAAATCAGCTGATCGTTTTCCCTACATCTAAATTGAGCTTATAAAACAATAATTTATTTATTTAATAAGAGCTGTTACAAAAGGAGACACTTTCTGTATAGAGTGATGAAAAGATAATATATTTTATCATAGATTTAAATATAATTTATGACTGGTTATACCATGGGAAGAAAGGGTGTATGTAATTCACTTTGAAGGTCAAAGTTAATACAAATCCAGATTAAATGCATACTTTAGTGTATGGTTTATGTACATACAATATGGCAAAACTTTCCTAAAAGCGACAAGAAACAACTGACCGTGTAGAGAAAACCAGAAAGTGTTCGTAATAATTGGAAAATCTCTTAATTTTCTAAGAGAAAATGAAAATAGAAACTCAAACCTCAAAACTACATCATTTTTTCATGCTGGCTAGGTTGGATATGAATGAATACATTTGGCATGTATTTTTAGCTTGGTCGACTGTGCCAGTTTCATTTCATACGTCACTCTTCGTGTTTATTTACTTTATAGACTGTTTGTCTGTATATGAAGAAATACTGTCATTTTCAAGTATTTTTTTAATGTTATCTACTCTCTGAAAATGTTTTTAACTCGCTCTGTAAAATGAGAAAACGCCATTCTCTGGATACCGTAAAAATGGCAGGTGTATATACTATTTTTTATCAGATTTTGCCTCTTTTTTTTAACAAATAGCCTACTTACTTTTTTTTATAATTATCGTAAAATTATCCGCAAATTTCCTAGTAGAAAGAGATTACCATTTATACTTACGGCCAAATACGTGCATAAGTTACTAGATACTCTTGAAAAATATTACAGTGAAGGTTCTTTCCGTTTTTGGAGATAAAGCTTTTAATTTTCTAGATAAGTGTACACATGGCTCAACATGGGGCCCGGACCAGGCACAGTAGTACTTGGTGATTGGCTTGGATTGAACCTGGGCCCTCAGACAAGGGTTATCTCCTACACCAGACACGATTCCATGAATGAATATGTTTTTATTTCTTTAATATTATAACGGTAATGTTCAGTTCCAATACTGCAGCATCAATGTAAAGATTAAAAATCCTATCCTACTAATATTATAAATGAGAAAGGTTGGATGTATGGATGTATGGATGTATGGATGTATGTTTGTGACAAGTGAACGCGAAAAATACTCGTCGGATTGGGCTGAAATTTGGCATGATGATAGCTCACATTCCCGATTAACATATAGGCATATTCTTATTTCAAAAATCCTTTCGGGCTCCGCCCCAGTGGCTCTGGAGTTTCCCATGTTAACCTTATGAGAAATGGAATTATTGAATCTTAACAGCTGTTTCAATTAAACAAGTTGGATCTGTTCTATGATGTTCAATAGCATTAAAGTTAAAAAGATTACCAACAGGGTGCAGCACTATTATTTCTCTTACATTTATGACAACAGCTAATTTGCAACCATAAGGTGAGTGAGCGTAGCGAACGAACTTCAACCTGGAGGCGAGTTAGCGTAGCGAACGAGCTAACGTGAAGGCAAGTGAGCGCAGCGAACGAGCTCCAACATAAAGGTGAGTGAGCGTAGCGAACGAGCTCCAACCTAAAAGGTGAGTGAGCGTAGCGAACAAACTTGAACTAGGACGTGATTGAGCCATGCGAACGAGATAATCTTGAAAATTAAGAAGTTAAACGGGGCAAAGCCCGCGGGTTACAGCTAGTCATGTATAAATGTCATTTATATATTAAGACAACAATGTAGATTTTTTAAAATATGCATGTTTAGCGAATAAAATGAAATCAAGTGAAACTAAAAGTACTAATTTAAACTGAAAACATTGATATACATAAAGAATTCTTTTTCACGAACTAATGATGTGATAGGCTGTCTCCCACAAGTAAACTTGATATTCGCTTATTTAAAAAGTAATATTTAAGAATTGGCAAATCCACGAAATCAGTGCAAAAGAGTATTATTCTTACACTTCGGTTCCACTTATATACAGTTACTAATTATCTGACCGTATGTTTGTTTATACTCTTCTGAGTCTCCTGGTATCTAAACTGTACAACAGTACAACACAACGATAATGCATCTTTATTTGCATTAGTTTACATGGAGGATAAAAGCGAGATTTCTATGTACAGTTCAAGCGAACCATAACTTATCAGTAATTACTCCAACTAACTCTTGATTCAATCAAACATTGGCTCGCCCCGCGACAATTAATTGTGACCGAGCATCAGCGATAAGGGTGCCGTATCGATGTTGGGGGTGAGAGCCGGGTGGCGGGAGGGGTTGCCTAGCAACCTGAGTTGAGCGCTCCTCCGAGAGATGGCGTTGGCGTTATTGTTCCGTCAAGTGTGCACTGTACAGGGTGTCAAGTTCGGATTTGTGAGTGACGTCAGGCCGGTGCTGGAATGAAGGACGGGCTGGTGAGCGGAGTGGTGGGGGAAGCTGTGTGTGTGTGAGAGAGAGAGATAGTCTAGTCAGAGTTTACCGAGCTGTGAGCCGAGACGGTCGCGTTGCGAGAGTGAGTGTTGTGTAGTGAAGTGTATGTGAGTGTGGGGCTAGCAGTCAGAAACATGTGATCCATCTGAGGCGAGGCCCTCCTCCTCCGTATATGATAAAGTTTCCACTCGGGCTTTCCCTGTAGTCAACATGCCTCGGAGGAAGGGCCATGGAATCCCCCCGACGAAACGTAAGTACACTCCCACCTACTACTACACGTGCTTTTTATCAGAGAGAAATCGTAGCGTATACTATAGTAATAACTAATTATCACTCATTTGTTTATGGTTTACAATACTGTAGGCCTACAAATGATCAAACTAGTTTGGTTTGTAGCTCGGGGATTAATAAATGTCAAAGTTTATTCCTCACGAATTTTTATTTAATGCTCCCAAGGCGCCGCTTCAGAAGGGTACGATAATAAATGTTTTGTTTTTGGCATGTGTTTTTGGCTGGGGATTCCTGTCAGCGTCGCAGGAGGGGGGGAGCCACTGGTGGAATGTGCAAAGCCCCTCCCCCACATGCTCTCTCACTCTCTCTCTCTCTCTCGCACCTAGTTTACAAACCGTCGTAGTCGTAGTGGAGTATTCGGTCATTCGTTGTATCGTATTGTGTGATAATGAAGGTAACGCCGGCTCATCACCTACATGACTTAGCGACTACCCTACTGTACTTCCATCCTGTTAAATGAGCGGCGTAGTAAACAAATAAAAGAGAGGAGGTTATATTTTATAACAAAATTACACACTAATTTCGGGTTATTGTTTACAACTTTAGCTCTATTCAATCTTTGAGATAGGTATGTTTGGACAATCTCAATTCGTATGAATTTAGTTACTGTGCTGTAAACAAATAACCCATTCCAATACAGTACAGAGATTGTTATGGGACCCATGGAACTGTGCATGCAAAAGTGCATTTTGTGCGTTACAGTGAAATCTCAGTCCCTCGAGACGGTGTCGTGTTGTGCCTCTATATGGAAGCTTTGGCGTGAAAACTTTGTTTACCAACAGCTTCGCTTCTCGTCTTCTGATTAGAAAGTCCTTTCTTTTCTATACGCACTTTTATATTCCTCGCCCAACAACCTACTTGGAGTCGTTTTGCCACCACCATGGATCTGTGGTCGTCTGAGCAATCCTTTTAATATTCAATATTCCATTACTCATGCTTTATGTTGTACAGCCGAAGCCGATGGATAGAAAGTTAATAGAATGCACGTTGCTGGTTGCTGCCCCGCCGCCGGTCGCTGTGGAGGGGGGTGGCGCCAATCTTGTATCCGTCTGTCTGTCTGGCTGTTCCAAACCGGCTTGGATCGCAACACCGTTTTCTTCTTTTCGCCGTTGTCAGGTTGTTTTCTTTCAGCTCCACCTTGAAAGATCAACCTTTGTTCCTTTTTATCCTGGATTCTGGTTTTGTCGCTTCTGTTTCGGCAGTGTTTAAATTTGGTATGTTTTGAACGGGCGCAGAAATGACCTTGGTGTTAAAGGTCGCGCGTCGCTTATTACTCATTCAACAATAATATATCGTATTAAAGTATTTACTATTACCTTATACTTATTATCCTATCTTACCTCAAAGTTGTACTGTTTATGGGGTCTGCAATACAATTGTTAGGCTAGGCCTACATAATTCTGCGTCGCTCGAAGAAGATCGGAGGGGTCTTCATCTTTTAATTGGGACCACACGACACACTACTTTTTTAATACGGTACCTTATTACTAAGGCTGCGTTCTTTACTAGCACAGTTGGATAAACTGTGTCAAGTTGGGTTTAGTTAACCCTAGTGGACTACAATAGTTGGCTATGTTTCTTTAGTGAGTTCAACAACGACACATTTCTCAAATTTCAGATTTATGTAAACGTGCAATTTTCAATACGCTGGTTCGAGGAACGTATCTTCTACAGTTTGATGACGTACTTACATCGAGTTGAATCTCAACCAGCAGCACTTAGTCTATTGTTTTTACGTCGAGAATCGTTGTTGTGGTGAATGCCAGAGTAATGCTCACTAGACTCACCAAAGCGCACCAGCTCAGTATACCAATGACGATGTCGTACTTTAAATTAAACTACGACAGGAAGACGGCCACTTATTATGCAAGTCACCTGTCATTTGCACACACGTAGAGTAGCGTCCGGTGACGCTAGCTTTCACGGGTTCAAGCCCAAGGTCACAATAATGTCAGCGTAGACCTCGCTGGGGGCTCACGTGAAACAACTATAATGTTGGGAAACGGACAAAGCAGAACACAAATAATTTGAAATTGGAGTTGGTTTCCAAGCGTTGTTTTCCATTTTATCAGATGCTGTAGTTTAACTAAATAACCTGATGTTTATATCATAAACACTTCAACTATGTCACACGGTTTATATTATTTTAATCAATTGATATGAAACACCGTCTTCAAATGCTGCGGTAAGGTTGAGGTATTTTCCTGAAGATACATTCTCACAAACACAGGCCCACCAGCAATGAATGCAATAAGACCTGATATGTGCTTTGCTTCAATTACACTACACAGTGTGGTCCTTGATGAATATCACACACTAACCCTCCGTTTTGATTAACGTTCTACGTCACCCGTATATCGACGATATCGAGCACACTCTTAAGACGGTGACACACTATCGATCTTTTCCCCGAACAAGACCCCGAACCGAGCAGGGAGAAGGGAGAAGGGAGGTCGAAGGGAGGATGTTCGATAGTGTGTCACGGGTCCGTACACCGATCAAGACACCGAACAAGACATCAGGCCGAGCAGGGAGACGAGCGCTCTGGAGGCGGTTTTTTGGCGAAAGATCAAAGAAAAGATCGGTCCGATGTACGGTCCGATGTACGATAGTGTGTCACGGTACATTTTTGCCCCGTACATCGTCGCGAGCGCCGCACCGAGCGGCCGCCTGCGCTAGCATTGATAGTTCCGCGCTCTCACTCGCGCACACTCTCTATCTCTCTCCAAACTTCCTTTTGCCGCGCTCGGTAGAATTCGTCTGGTCTTGGTCATGTTCGGGGAAATGTTCGGAGTAAAATTTTGCTGATATTTATCTCCCTTCTCCCTTCTCCCTGCTCGGTTCGGGGTCTTGATCGGGGAAAAGATCGATAGTGTGTCACCGCCTTTAGTTTACAATCTCCCTTAATCAACTCCATTCATTAGAAGTTTCAATACGACATTAATGTTATGGTTAATTGCGTTCGATCGTTCATAATAAACCTGTTTTAACGAACTAATCTCTCTAATGAATTTTCATAGGCTTTACGACTTTTTAACGTTTACAATGATATGACCTTTTGCTCTGGGTAGGAAAGGCATGAGAGCACTCAGTGATCTTATTGGTAACAAATAATCAGAGATGTATATATGTAGGTTATGTACAAATATACACATTTTTATTCCTCATCCATTAGATTTATTTTTTAGCATACATAACAATAACGAAGCCTACTTAAAAACGAGGAAATAAAGGTAGACGATTTTTTTCCAAAACCCCAAACACATACGCTGCCCTCTTACGGCGGGTTTTCCAAACACCATGTAGGCCTAGTTAGTTTGACATGCATAGTAGTGGCAACATGTAGAGGAAGCTCCTTATCCAGTCGTTCTGCCTGCATGACTCACCTCCAAGGTTACTCTCCGGGTGATTCAGTCGCAGTCCTGCTGTCTCGGGCCTCGCCCTCCTGGCCAAGCCTCAACTCCATACTGAGACTCGTGCACAGGAATACTCATTACCAAAGAAACCTTATTGTATATCAAACATTGGCCAATGGAGGTAGTTAATCCAGATAATAGCAATAGCTTAAACTTGATATCTTTAATACCAAATATCTCTCAGCAAGCTGGCGCCACCAAGTCACGTCAGCGATGAGCCCACTAGCTTGTGTTTACAACTGTGGGCCTTCCCAGAAGTCTAAGCGCCACCTTCGGCCACGGGAGTTCCTAGAACTACGCGTCATCGTAATCTAGCTGTGTTCCTGGAACTGCACTCCGGTTTCCAGGCGGTGCCATCCGTCGACTGTCGGACATCGCCATCGCCTCCCTGTATACAGTAGGCCTACCTGACTGTGTTGTATGCTGCATCGAATATGTTACTTCGGCTTGTAGGTTTACTAAAGTGCCATAAATAACTTCCTATATTGTTACACGGTCCAAAAACTTCACACCACACCGTGCAGTGTCGGTTTCGTACTATATAACCATTGACTTTATAATAGGTAAACCTAGTGATACAATCGACAGCTCGTACTTTTTATTGCATTCTTTCTAGAGAGAACCTAAAAAATTAGCGCAATACTTTGAATTGTCGATTCAAAACAGAGTGTGAATTTTAAATGCTCGGAAATTCAGTGTTGGTGACAATTCTTCACCAAGATTCCAGATATGATCACATAAACAATTAATTGGTTCGTGGCAGTAAGTGTTAAATCATTGTTCTAACCATAGTGTAAGACAAGCATAGGCTAGACTGTCGTTCACTGAGCAAAGCTTGACCACCAGAGCAGGTTTTACCGGGTTTTACCTAGCAAGTGACAGCACGACTGAAGGGTTGCTTTGTGTAGGAACTCCAGATCCCCCCCTGCCACCCCCAGGATGCTAATGACTCCATTTCCTCCCTTTGAAGACCCCCTCCCCCTCCCTAGCTGTCAGGGACGGCTCTACTTATCCTTGCTTGATCACATGATTCACAATGCTCGGTGCTATTTATGTATTGTAATACATTTGTGTATTTTGCGAACGTGCGATAGGCTATAGCAAAAGTTTGGCCAAAGTTTGCCAAACGTATTTTTTGTGCCATGAAAACGTATGATTACTTTGGCTTATCTAATCTTTGATATTGAGCACATTGAAAACATTTTCCCCCTTATATTAATTAATGGTAGGATAGGCTAATAAATGGGAATTTCTTAATTTGCTCTTAAAAATGCAGTAATTCAATATTGATTTCTATTAACTAAAGTTGTATTAATATTTTTTAATGTTGTATTTTAATTGTTAAAAACTACGGTACTTTGAACTGGATTATTGAAAATCAAAGTATCCTACTATTAATATTTGTAAACTACTGCATCTGGATTGTGGGTTTAATCATTTTTTTTATTTATAGAACAACAATTTTCAACAACCATAGTATTTAAACATTATTCTCAAATACCGACTATCCCAAGTGAAAAACGCCGTTCTGCTCATCAGGTAA